TGGCTGAAAACTGGACTGGGATATTAAAGCAGGAATGGGCTGTCTTTGTCAGCCACAGAGTACATTTCACAGTACCTTTCATGTACCAAGTAACTGCAACACCTGTACTTATTTACATAAGTACATATCCATAATGTTGTTTACCTTAACCTCTTGTTATCCTATCATTATTATTACCTTATCTTATTTATCTCATATTTAGCTTATCTGTTAATTACTTATCTATTAAATAAATACCTGTTTCATACATAAGTAATTATCACTTCACTCCTTTATCCATTAAATACCTGTACCACAAGTTATCCCTGTTCTACAGTATTTTCACGATCAAATATCTTTATAAATAAATATTTACATGCCTTGAATGTTAAGTATTAATTAATAATTGAATGAATATAATAAATACATGTACTGATATTGATAATGACTTCATTATTTATTGTGTGATCTTAATAATGACTTCATCATTAATTATCCTTGTCCCAAAAGTCATCACGGACAAGAATCATTACAAATAAAAATGTACAAGTATTGTTTGCATATTATTGAGTACCAATTGAATTAATACAATCAATACATGTACTGATCCTTATTTGTTATTTTAATTGAAGGATCTGTTAGTTGTACACGTCACAAATAATAGTTACTGATCCTCTAGTAAATACTATGACAGCTCTAAGAGATCATTACAAATAAAGATCAGTTACTCAATTAACACTGCTCTTCCTCTTGGTACTTTCACCCGTGATTCAGAGCACTTCTTCATTTCCTCATGTAATATTCTGGAACTTATAATCTGTGCCACTTCCACTGATTAATCCCCAGAATATTCAGACACCAGTTAAAACAGTTAACATTTATATTGATACATTACATCTAGTCCACATTTATTGTTCTTAAGCTTCAGTACACTTACTCAACTTATCCACAATATTCATAGCCTTGCTGAATATTCCCATCAACAATACCTGTTAACCTTCAACTAATTTTGTTAAAGCTTAATAAGTATTGTTAGCCCATTCCCTTTGGGAATAACCAAATCAATCCCAGGTGAGTCCTAGTACTAGAGATGGGCGCATTGAATCCGGATATCCGCGTGGATGCGGATATCCGCTCACGATTTCAGCGGAAACACACATCCGCATCCGCCAGTGTTGGCGGGTATCCGCGCGGATACCCGCGGATACCCGCCCTCTGAATGGGCGGCGAGGCTCTTCCAGGAGTGTTTTTTTAAAAAAAAAGAAAAAAAAACCAGCCCCCTCGGCCTAAAAGGGCAGAGGCCACACCGTCGGGAGGAACCCCTCCCGGCGAGCGTCTACACAATCCAGCTCGCCGGGAGGAACCCCTCCCGACGAGCTGGTACACAGACCAGCTTGCTGGGAGGAACCCCTCCCGGCGAGCTGGTTTAAAAACCAGCTCGCTGGGAGGAACCGCTCCCAGCGAGCTGGCCTGTAGACGCTTGCCGGGAGGAACCCCTCCCAACAAGCTGGTACACAGACCAGCTCGTCGTGAGGAACCCCTCCCGACGAGCTGGTTTACAAACCAGCTTGCCGGGAGGGATTCCTCCCGGCGGTGTGGCCTCTTGGAACCGGGTATCCCAAGGGATACCCGGATACCCGCCAGTATTTCAGGGGGAAGGGTGCATCCGCACCCGCTGGCGGGTATCCGCCAGCGGATAGCGGATATCCGCGGCGGATTATCCGCGACCATCTCTACCTAGTACCCTGGATGCCTATTAATACCAAGTATTGATCCGGATGCGCTGTTGATAGCAAGCCTCTCAGTAAAGACCATACTGATAGAGTGAAACCTCCTCATTACAGGACTGGTATCAACACCCACTACCTACCACTCACCATGCTCAAAACACTCATTGAACTCATAGTAACAACCTTCTACCAATAAATACTCAGGTTAGTTACCCAGAGGCTGAAAGTAGCCCTGGTGCTATAGTAGAGTAGTAATTAATGTTAGATGATGTCACCTGTTGGGCATTGCTCCATCTAGTGTATATGTACTGGAATTTTTGCGAGGGACACAGGTGACGGGACTGAAGGTTCATGGACCTTGTGATATTGGAGCAATCACTAAGATAAATTTGGTTTAGATTCAGTGAGTAGGAAAAGTCACAATGAGAGTCTGGCTGAGCTACGTGCAACTAGATTGAAGCATACATTCACTATAAGCATCTCAACAGGAATTAATTACAGTATTGAAACTGTTGCACAAATCCACAACTTCATTTTTTGTTCTGCTAATTTAGCTGCATTCAGGTCAGATCAAGTGAATAAGATCAAGTCCAAATGTGGGCTCAAGAAAAAAGTGAGAAAGATGATTGGTGGTAGATTCAATTCATATACTATGTACAGAAAGGTTTCAATAAACCATTTTTTAACATCCAAAGCATGTGCTCAACTTGCTCTGCAGCAACCGTGGTCCAGTTTCACTAACTGTAGTTTTAGTGTAGCGGAATTCCGCTAAACTTTAGCGTAGTGTAGCGGAATTCCGCATCTTCTAAAAAAATGCTAACACTACAAATTTTTGGTGCAAAAAAAGTGCTGCTACACTACGCTTTTTGGGCCAAAAGTGTAGCGTAGCGGCCCACCGCTGTCTGCAGTATCACTGAATTTGAACATTGGAAAAGTGGCTAGTGAATAAAAGGCTGAAGCATCAATGCTCAAGCCTGAAGGCTTGCATTCTGAAGAGATGAAGGTACATTTGGTTGTATAGGAAAGGGCTAGCTTGAAACAAGCCCCACCTTCATAGACTTGCAACACAAGCCAGGAGGGGCTTGGGAGTAAAGTGAACCTTTTGGCTTGAGAGGTTTTGATTTTTTGGTTGGGGAAAATTTCCCTACACTTCCACCCTCAAATACAGCCTGTATGTTGGATCATTATAACCAGACAGGTCTTGCCTACCATCCAACAAAAGATGGGACTCTTTTTTACTTTCAAACATATTTGAAATCCCTGGTGAATCTCATGATTTCTTGGATTCAGGCCATCTTTATTGCTCAATACAGCCACATACAGATGGTTCAGGCTCATAGAATCATGGACTTTGCAAGGCATTTTGGATGTGGTCAAAAGACAAAGAGAGGTCCATCCTTTACCAGATGGTAGGGGAGATCTGCCTTGTTATGATGATCCAACAGACAGGCTGTATTTGTGGGTGGAAGATGGGGGAAGTGGAGGGCAATTTTCCCCCCACCAAAACATCAAAACCTCTCAAGCAAAAAGGTTCACTTGACCCCTAAGCCCCTCCTTTGGAGGCTTGCTTTGCAAGTCAATTAAGGTGGGGCTTGTGTTAAGCCATAGGAAAAAGTAACTAGTTCTTTCAGTCATTATTCCTGGTGATTACAGCCAAACCAAGAAAGCTTGTGGTCCTGGTTGGCAGAAGATTCAAAAAAAAAAACAATCCTGACTGCAATCAGAACTCTTGGGAAGAATACATCAGTGTACAGGTCATAAAATACATGCTGGTAGCACCAAAAGGACAGGATGGGACCAACCAGCCAGCTCTAGGGGCAGCAGAGGCATGGGTGACACCCAGGTCATCAGCTGGTAAGACTAAAATTTCCCTCAGGATTTCAATGGTCTTACTCTCATGACCTTGAAATGAGGTAGAAAAAAATATAGGGAATTGACACTCAGGTAGGTATTTGAATAGGCATACAGGGTGCTTTATTCTTCCAAAGATTCCGACTGCAGTCGGTAGTTTTTTTGAAAAAAAAATCTTCTGCCAACCAAGACCGCAAGCTTTCTTTGTTTGGCTGTAATTACAGTCCGAGTAGAGATCAATTCCACATTGGATACCAACATGGTTTTGTTGATTATGTTGAGATCTGATCCCAATCCCTCCAGTACTCTAGTAGTGTTTTTTGTAAAAGTCGCCCTTTACATAAGCCCAGTCGACTTTCCAATGACATCATCATTGTGGTCTCTGCACTTTCTTATATAGGACTCTTCCTTCAACCTCGCTTGCCTTTCTCCCCATGACTCCAGAAACCTTCCTCGCTGTTTCTCAGAAGACTCCTTCTTACTCTTCTCATCTCTTCGGATTCATCATTGTCACTCTAATCCTTCTCTTATAAAAGACTTGTGACATTCTCTTTTCCTCACAAGACTTCCTTCTCCCATCTTTTGATAAAACGGCTTGTTTGTTAACTATCCTCGCTTGCCGTCAAATATCAATTGACTCGACCGTTCTCACTTTATCTCATCTCCCTTCTATTCGACTCTCCGCCAACACTTAACACTCTCATATCTTCATCAAGTCACAGTAGGTGTTTACTCCATTCTTTTCTGGATGGAGGTATAACCAAGACTCTGACTTCTTTTCATTATTAGTCTTTGCTCTTTGTTTCTTTTCTTCTTCTTTTATTGTGTCCCTTGTCTAGTTGCTCCTGCCTTAAGGTACTCTCTCAGTTCTTTTTGTCTGATCATTTTCTTTGTCATGTATTTCTATGTTATTCTCACTAACCTGAAATACATCCTTAAGTTTGGTAATTAACAGATTAGACCACTGAATGGCTTGAGAATTGAGTATATTATAGCTTTTTCTTTGGTTGAATTCAATAAGGTAAAAGTACATGTTCATCATAGTATTTATGTTGTTTCTATAAATAATTCAATGAAAAGAGAATAATGATGAGCCAGCCTTTCATATTTGAAGGTGTGAGATGAGATGGATGCTAAATAGCCTTATAGGGTAGCAAAGTTGCCATTTATACTAATAGTGTTCAAAGTTACCAAAATATTTTTTTACTTATTGTCATAATCATATAAAGTTTGTTATTTTGGCTGGGACCTGTAAATTTGAGTTTCAAGTACACTGGCAGGTTCCAGCCAAAATCTCACATCATCTTAAGTAACTTTGAACACCATAATCAACCTCCAGTTCAAAATAAGAGCACACTTCCAAGTATAATTTTTGATCAAATTTCAACAAGCACAAAAAATGTGTGAAACCTAACCATCTCATGAAGCAAAAGGGACTGTAATTAGGGTCTTGTGAATCTCTGAATTCATCAACTACAAATTCTACTATGGCCAGTACAGTTTGAACAAGGTATTTTTTTTGTTGGTGTAGATTCACCTATGTAATCCTGGTTTTTCTGGGAATAAGCTGTACAGCACAGGGTCACTTGATCCTGGCTCCCGCACAACAGTCCTCTGATCATGCTCACATCCTTCCTTCGCATCGTCCTCTGGCGTACGATCCTTGGAGCCGCGCACTCCCGTCCGGACATTGACGTATACCGCCATTCTACATTTAGGTTTGTTGCACTCATAGTAATTCTTAGTACGCGATGCCTGGCAAATCCCGCCAGCTTCGAGCTTAGCCCCGCAGGTTGTCCCTGTTTTCTGCATGGTGGCGATCTCGTAGGCAGTTTGAGTTTTGCAATTGGTACACTTAACGATGGTAACGCAGTTCACATTGCAGACGCTCGAAAGCGCGAGGGTCAGCGCAACAATGGCGAACAGTTTCATCTTCAGGCGTTTGGAATCGAGCTGCGATCGGAGTCGAACTTGTGTTGGCTGGTTGAGACGTGATGGTCGGGTCGGGGTAGTGTATAGCAAAGGTTATTTGCTGACCATTGTCCTACTTGAGGATGCGGAGTTGTCTGACTTGTCTCGCTAGGTTGCTGCGTGCCCAATGACCACCCAAGTATGCAGGGGATGATGATGGATGTAGTTCTGTTGTGCTTTGATCGATCGAAGGCATCTTCATCAATTCTCAATGATCATCATGCCAGCTAACTACGGACAAGACTAAAGTGATGACTAGAAGAACACCAGAAAGACGTTGCAGACTCATTTGGGGTTGTCATTTTGTTTTTGGCACACTATCTACCAAGCCGCTCAATCCTATGGTCACCCAGCATTACAGCCGCCTGGACTTTCTAAAACTCACATCATCATTTTCAATCCAAAATCAGATCACACTTCAAAAACTGAGGTCAGTTGATTCAACATTAAAACTCTTCTGGCTTGAAATTTATTTGCGTTTTGATCACAATTTCTTTTCTTACCTCCCCTCAAAGCTGACAGCATGCAGCTTGTTTTGCTAGTCTGTTGTTCGATTTTTTTTTATCTCATGAATTTGCTCTTCAAAAACAACTGATCAACATTCAATTTCTAGCAGCAGAAATGGGCCAATTTGTTACATCACAAGATTTGGCTATAAATTTGTAACAGATTGACTTGAAAGACAAACCAAAAGAACAATGGATTCTCATGGGGTCATTTTATGTATCAAAGATTTAAAAACAGTTTATAAATTTGATAGAATTCACTGTGATTTGGCATTTGACGTTCCTGGCTCAATTCAATACATTCACAACAGAATCCACTTAAGATGATGTTTTTATAACGAGACAAACATCTATTTCACATTATAACTAGGTGCAACACAATCCTGACCCTAAGATTAATAAAGGCAATGTTAGTGCTTAATGAAATGTAACTAGATAAAAGGAGTTTTTAGCTTCATCTCTAAGACTCACAGGAGGTGGGAGACCAACAAGACAGCACATTAGTGAATCAGACCCATTGCAAGTTTGTAATTTGGGTGGTGAATAGACTGTTTGAGCAGGGATTTAATATAGTCAAGTAGGTTCAGTTTAAACACATAAAGCATCCAGTATCATAAGATAAAAAAGGGCAGATTGCATACGGCCTGAATTGCCAGAACACATAAACGCTCTAGCGCTTGGACAACTTGCGCCAGCTAAGATCTCAGAGACCATGCCCATCATGAGTATGATGCCAAAGGCTTGTGAAATTTTAGAAATGTTGAAGTTCATAGTCACAGCCTTTATCAAATGAATCAGTTCCTGGTCTTCTTGACGGACGTCTTTTTATTGGAAAATAGATGCTCTAATTCTACTGGGATTTTCTTCAATACTTGTTCGGTGTTGGTTGGGGATATCTGCTATGAGGCCTGAATGGCCCCTCTTATATAGACCTGGATTATCTAGGAACCGTGTCATGCTTTGGTTACCCAGGATATCGAGAGCACACTCGAAAACAAGCCTCGGTGACATTTGTTTATGTGCCAAAAAGCTTGATTCCGAGATCTGCTGTAAAGCTCAGTGGGGAAGTATCGACAGGGGCTGTTCGCTGCGGTGCTACTACCATATCTACCTAATAAATGAAGGTGTTGCCGAGTCCCGACTTATGCAACGATATGGCGATGCCAGTGCGATGACTTCCCTCGGTTTATCTGACCTCGGTCACGGCCATGGATCAATAATATACACCAAAATGCAGACTGGTGCGAAATTAACAACGTCATAAGCGAAGGAATTCTCATCCGTTGCCTTGAAATCCTTGCGATGATATTAATTAAGCAATAGTTTGGTCAAGTCCCTAGTGAGACTATGGTGCGGAGAACTTTCAGAATTATGAAATGTAAGAGTGGTTGGAGCTTATCTACCGGAGTCCGAAAAGGGTTGACCAGCTATATACTGGCGCCGTTAACACCAGCGCTCACGAGCGCTGTGCGACCTCCGAAGGAGGCACTGGCAACCAAGCCGCAAGCGGATATGCCTGGCGCGGCCGTGCGCAAAGAAAAACTTCATTTCAGCGCTACTTACTCCTACATAATCTGCTACCAAAACAAGCTATTTTCAGAAAGAAAACCTGCTACACATCCAAATCTTGAGCTTAATCTTCTCAAAAATTCAGCGCCTCTATGTCAGGCAAGCTTGTCTGACAATGCACAATCCCACCTCTTGAGGACAACTCAAGATGAAGAAAGAGCATCCAGAGGAAACCTCTACCAGAAACATTCAGCAAAACAGAGCTCCAGTGAAGTCCATGTATGGCCTCCCTCAAGTTGACAGATGATGAGGTGAAAAAACTGTGACTACAGTATGTATGATGGTGTGGAAGGATAAATTGCCTCATTAATGATGAGAGAAACACTGAGAAGACAGAAGAAAGGAAGAAAGAGAAGCAAGAAAACAATGGACAAGACTTTCCTGGGACCCCCAAATGATGGAGTCAAGAAGGCTTCCATCCACAAGACCGCTGCTGTCCCACGCCATGAAGGCGCCATGTTGATGTCTA